AATACTTCGCTGTTTGGGGAATAAACACATACATACATACATACATACATACATACATACATACAAATATGCATATATACATATATACATATGTACATATGTACATATGTACATATATACATATATACATATATACGTATATACATATATACATATGTACATACACATCTATCTATCTCTGTGTGTGTGTGTGTGTATATATATATATATGTAGGGATGTATATTTACACACAGACCCCTTGGGACTGTAAGGGGGAATACCAAGAATCAATCAGACTCTTACACTCTGCTCGACACTCGGAGCCCAGGGAATTGCCAGAATTTGCGTCGACACGGCCGCCTTCAGCGGCAAGCGAAAGGCAACCCTGAAGAGGCTCGGCAAGGCATCACAAATCCTAAACCCTAAACCCTAATAACCCTAATAACCCTGAACCCTAAACCCTAAACCCTCCAAGTGAACCGTTCAACTTGCAAAGACCTCCGCCTCCGAGCCTCCTCCGGGACGAAAAATGGACGTGGAGCCAGCTACACGCTGCAAGGTACTCAGTGAAACCTAGAGGGCACTAGAACAAGTCCATGATGGTCCCATAGGGTCCTGAACAGGAGGAGCCCAACCTGAAGCAGCCTGAAATCAGAGCAGCAGAACGCCAGAAAAGGCTGCTGCAACACCAACGGCCACACGGGCGCTGTTGCTCGTAGTGCCAGCGCAGGTGTCGTAGTAGGCCGGCTGCAGGTCGGCCGTACAGCCCTGGTCGCTGCAATCGATGGTTGTCACGCCTGTTGACACTTCTAGCTCAAGAGGTTCAGACAAGGCTGAGGAGAAGGCCACAGATTCGTGGCAATGCAACCTCACCCGCTTCACCGCCCAATCGTTGCCGTTGCCTCCTTGGTACAGCTTCAGCTGTGTGACCTGCTGATTGCTGCCAAGGTCGAGGGTCAGTATCTGGCCGTCTTTCTTAGAGTCATCCCAGCAGCTGCAACTCATGCCGACGTCGTGATCGCCTGCCCAGAAACTGCCCGAATCGCCATCCACAGCCTTACTGGGTGGGTAGCCATCATCCGAGCCCGACATTGATGACGCGGACAGCGTCAGCTGACCGCTGCTAGTGAAGGCCTCGACCTCATGCACATCCCAGCTGGCATAGCAGGACGAAGAAGAAATCCCTCCGGCAGCCCCTATGGAGATGTAGCGATATCCGCGAAAGGGGTTGCAGATGTTCGGGTTTGAGTCCGAAACTACATTTGTCGGCGTGGATGTCGATGTCACTAGCGGGCCATCACCACCAGAGGGCAGAACAGACCATGAAGCAAGGAGGATCGGCAGCAGCATCACCTTAAGAACTCGATCCTTTGCAGTGACACCAGAACCAGTATATACTTCTTAGTGCGCCCCCCGATACTGGAGATTTCTTGGCGTCGTGACCTCGAGCCACGGGTTACGGAAAGTCGCATTCTGGAGGGGTGCCCGTGGAACAAGCCCTGCACCCGAGCCAATGACTTCTTTAGACTGATCGAGTTCTCCGGCATAGCTATGGGGTTCGTGGCATCATTCGTGAAGTCGCGACACATATATGCATATACATATGCAAGTACATATACATAGACATATACATCTGCATCTACATATACATATGCACATGCATACACACTCATATATTCATACAATATAAGCGCATATACACAAATACATTTGTATGCATATACAGATACACACATACATACACACATATATATATATATATTAGCAAGACAACCGTACAAAAGGTGCCTATAAATCCGGGCCGTCCTGACCAAAATTACACGAGCATCAGCCTCATATCAACAATATCAGCCCTTCTAGATTCTAAACATTTCTGCTTTCATGGCCCTCTTAGACTCCGAGATGTCAGGGCGAGAAAGAGTGCTCGCAACACTTGGCATAACGTAGGCTTAGGTCACTTAAACCTATAAATATATATATATATTATATATATATATACATACACATACACGCGTGTGCTTATGCATACATGCGGTCCCATACGTACGTACACACAGAGCTGCGTGCACACACAGACCTGCGTGCAAACGAGCAAGCGCATATACAAACCTTCATACATGTATTGTTCATTCACGCATACGTGCAGAACTCAGTGTCGGTACATTGCATACATTACATACATCAAGCACATCAGAGACATAACCACACAACAGACACAACATACGTACCAGACAAAATAAACAGAACGGACATGACAGTCATAACATACATACCTTGCATCCCATACACAACATAGTCACATAGCACACACAACAGACATAACATACATAGCAAACATGACAGAGATAAAATACATAACATATCGTATGTGCATACATACATGCATACATACATGCATACTTACTTACTTACTTACTTACTTACTTACTTACTTGCTTACTTACTTGCATATCTATATAGCCACATGCAAACGTGCATACATACATACATCCATGCATGCATGCATGCATGCATGCAGTCATGCAGGCAGACAGGCAGCTTGGCAGGCAGACAGACAGACAGACAGACAGACAGCCAGACAGACAGACAGACAGACAGACAGACGGACAGAGACAGACAGACAGAGACAGACATACATCTCTCTCGACATACATCACACAATCATATCTGCCTTCCTTCCTGCCCACCCACTTACCTACCACCCTTCACAAGGATGCATAAGCACATGCAGACATGCATGCATGCATGTCTTTGTTTTTTACTGTCCACATTTCAACACAACATAACTTTGTGGAGCCCCGGACTGCATGGACCTTTGGTGAGCTGCCAGAGTTTGAGTCGATGTGGCCGCCTTCAGCGGCAACGGTCGTGCATCGGACTCTGTGGAGGCACCACAGGCGAACGAAAGGCAACTCTGAAGAGGCTCGGCAAGGCTGCGTTGCCTTCCTAACTGTCCCTAAAACCCAAGTGAACCGTCGAATTCACAGAGACCTGCGACTCTGAGGCCCCTTCGGGACGCAAGAACGCCGTGCACGGAACCATAGACGCGGCAGCCCGGTGCCGAGTGAGACTTCTGCAGTGATCGTACCAGGGTTGAGCCTTGCTGACGAAACCGGAGCCCACATTGAGTTACACTGTGAGTTCAACGACGTGTGAAATCAAAGCAGTATAAGCACAGCAAGGACTGCTGCAAGGCCACTGGCCAGCTTGGCGCCGACGCCCTTGCAGGTATCGTAGTACGCTGGATCAAGAGCTGTCGTACAGCCCTGGTCGCTGCAATCGATGGTTGTCACGCCTGTTGACACATCTAGCTCAAGAGGTTCAGACAAGGCTGAGGAGAAGGCCACAGATTCGTGGCAATGCAACCTCACCCGCTTCACCGCCCACTCGTTGCCGCTGCCTCCTTGGTACAGCTTCAGCTGTGCGACCTGCTGATTGCTGCCAAGGTCGAGGGTCAGTATCTGGCCATCTTTCTTAGAGTCATCCCAGCAGCTGCAACTCATGCCGACGTCGTGATCGCCTGATCAGAAAGTGGTCGTATCGCCATCCACGGCCTTACTGGGTGGGTAGCGATAATAGCCCGTAATTGAGGACGCGGACATCTTCAGCCGCCGACCGTTGAAGGCTTCGACCTCATACAAATCCCAGCTGGCATTGCAGGACGAAGAAGAAATCCCTCCGGCAGCCCCTATGGAGATGTAGCGATATCCACGAAAGGGGTTGCAGGTGCCAATGACGGCAGGAGGTGCCGTCGAGGATGTCGAAGTGACCGGCGGGCCATCACCACCCGAGGGCAGAACACATCAAGGAGGACCCGCAGCATCACGCCGGAACTTGCCTAGTAACCTAGTACCTAAAGCCAGCTTCTGCAGGGTTCTTGCACATGCAACCATCTTTACAACGCCACAGCAGCCGCCCGTCCCGGCAGGCTGCTACCGAAGACCTAAGCCTTTTCAGATGCTGCAGACACGTGATACAAACCGCGATTCGTGAAAGTCGCGGCATCTCGGCAGGTTCGAGGCAAGGAAAGTCTACCAAGCACAACCCCAAGCCCTGAGCCCTCCTCAAAACCCTTCTTGACAACCCTTCAAGCGTCTCAGGATCTCAAGATCCCAACTGCCGCCAAGGTGCCAACTCGTCGCGAACCTGCAAACCAAGGGAGTCTCCGATATTTTCGCTACAGATTGGTCTAGAATGTGGCAAGAAGGGTTATGATAAATGCTGTGGTTAGGGAAGTTATAAGGGCTAGTGTCAGTCAGGACTACTGCTGCACTGATGAAAGGATTTCAGATTTGAGGGCATTTCGGATTTCGGGCCGGGTTTGTAGTTGAAATTGCTGAAGTTGTACCAACTTGTCTCTCTAGCCCCACTGTATCTCACCGTTGTCTTGGGCCCAACCTTCACAGCTGCGAGTTGCCAAGTTGCTGCACAGGGGTGCAGAACTTGGTGTCTGTTTCTTTGTTGCCTCCGAGAATTTGCGACAAGCACAGCCCCACCTCAACACGACCCACGGCACACACAGCTGGAGGACATAAATGGGCCCGTGAAACACTCCGCCCGAAGCAAGTCCAATGCATCGTGGTGGCCCATTTCCGCGTCTCCAATCCGAACTGCACGGTGCCCGGCTCTCCTGTGCAGTTCACATGCATGAGTTCAAACTAGTCATCGGAACCATTACCACCACCACCAGCACCAGCACGACACCGGCAGCACCGACACACTAGGCATGGTACTGACAAGAACCATGGGGATGAACAGGCAGTCGGGCAATGTAGTGGTCGCCGTATGTCGTCTTACAATCGGCTGCTGCTGCTGCTGCTGCTGCTGCTGCTACTGCTGCTACTACTACTACTACTACTACTACTATACTACCACTATTAACTATGACTACTGCTACCACCACCACCACCACCACGTCGACCAACAACACTACCATTACCACGACCACGCTCACGACTACCAGCACTAGCACTTGTACGTACTAGCAGCATCAGGAGGAAGATGAGTAGCACTAGCAGTAGTAGTAACCAGCAACAGGCTAAAGCCGGTCTGGGGTAGGAAGTGACGGTGGCATTAGCCAGCAGCGATTTGGGCAGTCGTGACACCACCGAGTCGAAAGCCGGCAATGGCCTACAGAGCTTGTAAAGCCGGGTTCAACCCGCCAAAGTGAGTATACGCCGCAGGCCTTTCTGCATCATTCTCGCCTGAGCAACTAGCACAGACAACAGGAATATGTAGCTGTTGTTCATGTGTGTATACAAAACCAGTATATATAATATAGTATGTACGTCTGCTCCCATGCCTCCGAAGAAAGCGACTGCTTCAGCTTGCATCTACAGGTTCTGATGTGAAAATGCAGTTTACTCATTATTCATTTCTCAGCTCAGAAACAAGGGAAATCTAGACGGCGTACGAGCGAGGGACGGAGAGAGACGCAGACGGAAAGAGAAACAGAGAGAGCGGGAAAACGAGATGCAAACAAATCTTGCGCAGTTCGCTGTAAGATTCAGGTATGACGACTGTTGGCATGTCGTCGGAAACTTCCCGGGGCATGTTGACATGTTCCAAACCTTTTAAGTTCGCGTACTTGAACAGTGAGTGCAGTGGGAACCAACGTGCCAGCAGCTGCTTGTCGTGATGTGGTCCGGTTTGTGTGAGTTCAGAGATTACAGACAGTACTTCATAATTATCTTGCTAGGATGCAGAGAGATTGTAGGCAGTAGTGAACAGTCGCATTTGTCTCTGAATGTTTCTTGGGCTAGGAGTCAGCAGACAAATTACAGACGGCGACGCTCTATCATACATTTCACTTTCAGAGAGCTCTTTCAAGAGAGGTGTGCAGGATGTAAGCACAGTGCACTTGATGGAATTGCTCGGAGTGAAGTCTTATACAAGACTACACGGGGTGTAGGAAGTTTTTGATCTTATAGTCTTGTGCGCAGTGGTACTTGCTTTACTGCGCGTAGCGGGGCTTTGGGCAATACTAAGTTTCGTCGCAATTTGTGGTCGTAGGTCTCTGGCAGTTTGGTTGATTTGCAATTCACGACAAGCGCAATACTCTCTCGTCATTTCGGTTTTGAACTTTGAAGCATCATGCACATATACGGTATATGTGACATTTGCTAGATGCAGAATTCTGAAATGTGCAAACACATACACACTGTAAATATATATATATATACACATACGTATATGTATGCATGTGTGTGTGTGTCTGTAAATGTGTGTATATGCGGATATCTATCTATCTATCTATCTATCTATCTATCTATCTTCAGTAAGTAAGTAAATTAGTTAGTTAGTATTTATGTCAGCTGAGGCTTTAGACATATACATGCCTACCACATCTTGCTATGTAAGTGCATTAGTGTGTGTACATATAAATATATATATATATGCATACATGTGTGTGTATGTGTGTATATATATACACATGCATAAATACATGCATACTTACACACATACAT